AATCATTTCCAAAGTTGAACCGTGGACGTGGTATATTCCCAAACGTTTCGCCGGCATCGTCAGTTAGTATCGCCATCCTAAGCACCATTCTATTTAATTTTACATAGCATTGCTTCCTAAAATCTATTTTCATTCTAAGCGGTTATATAAGTCGAGTATGGCAGCGTACAATTATGACATGTTACTACTACGCCACACTTCCAGACGTGATGGTCAAAGCTAGTCAAGCCCCTACCATATCACAATTTGTTGTGGGAAGCAAACTTATATTTGTTATTACAATCGACTACACTACTTATACTCCAAACGAGTATATTTCTAGACTACCAGTAGATCTTCAGCTTTTAGTTAAGTTTCGAAATCTACTTAATTCAAAGATTTAGTCGATTGTAAGTTGAAACTGCGTTGTGACGCCCTAATACTTGGCAGTGCGGCGTTATGGTAACATGTCGAAATTGTAGGCTACGCTACATGCGTTTGTTTAATGCTAGAGATGCTTACGAGACCCAGGCGAGGTCGAAATTGCAGTTCAGTTTCCGCCATTAATCCTATTCATCGGATTGTAGGAAAACTCGACCGTTAGTCCCTAAATTGCCTTAAGCATCTTTGGGTAGTGTCTGTAAATGTATCAAGTTAATGCCCCGATGCCATTGCAGAGGATGCAGGGCCTGTTTTGTTCCATAAGGCATGTCTGTCGCTTCGACCAAGTTGCTAAAATGAGGTTGAGCCAACTTTATATGGCTAAAGAAGACTGCGATCAAACTTAAGGCTACACTATCCTTTTCCTCGTTCACAGACTTACAAATTTTGTTCACTCTAACTTACTTTGGAAACACGAATTATCTTTTAATATTGATGACGCCTGTTTACTTGAGGGATGCGCCGAATGCAGACATGTGGATAACCATCTCCGACAGTCCTGGCGTCGACGAGAAGGAAGACTTGACGCCGTCTCTGGGCCACTTTACGGTGGTGTGAAAGGTCCTAAGGGTGACTTTTTCTGGCTGATAGACAGAGTGACCTATGTACATACATACATACATACATACATACATACATACATACATACATACATACATACATACATACATA